CTCTCTCCAGTACATCCTTGAGTAAAGACAATCCCACAAAGCTTACCCAGACACCCTCACACACATTGAAGAATTCACACAGTCATAAACTGTTACAGAACAGAACAGCATGAATAAACGGTACTGAGAGAACATAATGATATTTGTATTGGGAATGTATTGTAGCAATGATTCCTGCTCCTGTGCCTCTTTTGATGGGGTGCAGGACTAAGATTCATCAACACACATAGACGACATGAGACATCGAGTGTGAAGGAACTTAAGTTAGTTTAAGTAGAGGTTTTACGGCGCTCGCAACTGCATAGGTCATAAGACCGCCAGAAGATCAGAGGTGTGACAAGAGAGTAACAAACATAAAAAATAAGATTGGTAACCCCGATAACCGTCAGTTGCAGACATTCACTGCACTCACACGAGGATGTGTCGCATAATGCAAACGTGCCGTTTAAGTTCAATTTCTGACCGATTCTTGATGGCAAGGCCAACTGACCCGATTTTGGACAATTTTGCGTTTTATTGTTGTTGTTGTTGTTGTTGTTATTTGACACTGTGGAGGTCAGCAGAGAAGTCCTTACAGGAATCAGACTTACTCCGCTCACACTGCAGCGCACTCTCACCGTTTTATTCGACACTGCATTGCATCACTCACAACTACAAAATTATTGGCGGATTAGCCCCAGCCACAGCAGTTTCGGGGCTGTTTTTAAAAAAAAACAGTTTGACAAATGTATTCAAGATACACAGTTGTGATTCACTGTATTGAAAGTATACATATTGAATTGTGTTTCAAAACAACAAACACAATGTGTTTATCTTGTGTACATTTTTTTTTTAAACAAATTTTTCACTTAAATCAATATGAAACATTTTAATATTAATAATACATTTCTGTGGTATGCTACAGATTCTCTAACATAAAAAGCCAAATTCTACTTTTTAAAAATTATAGTAGAGGGTTTTACGTTGCTCGCAACTGCATAAGGCCATATGAGTGCCAAGTTCAGAGAAAGTTTCATGAGTTTTGGTCGCGAATTTACCCCTTACCTCTCCAAACTGATCTTCTTCCACGGAGAATGTCATATCCAAAACATATGGATCATTGTCTTGAATCCAGATCAACGAGTTGTAGTATTCAGAATCCTGCAAAAGTTTTTGGGCTCATGTTAAACAACTGCAACTCCATACACCATTAGAAAAGTTCCAATATAATAATAATAATGGATTGCATAGCTTAACATGATACATATTATGGATTTACGAATCAATTTTACAGGCACATAGTGTTACATACGCGTGCACACACATATTCACGCACGCACGCACCACACACACATTCACACATATGTACATACACACATACAAACTCACAACGATCTACATCTTGGATGGATTTTGTCTAATATATATATATACAAAAAACCACTGTGTAAAAAAACAAAACTTCTTTTTTAGTAGAGGTTTTACGGCGCTCGCAACTGCATAAAGTCATATGAGCGCCAGAAGATTTTAGAGGTGTTACAAGAGAGTAACAAACATAAAAAAGAAGAAGGGGAGATAAGGACGATAGATGTTAGATAGGAGAGAAGAAGCAAACCCCACCAGAGCACCCGCCAACCATCCAGACACTCATCTTCTGGTAAGTACCCGTTTACAAAATTGAACACCACACAAGGACCCTACTGCCATCGCAAAAAATCTATGAAAGATTTCTACATCTTGTAACACAATACTCACACATAAATAAATGTGAGGCAGCGTGGAGAAATCAGGCGCTCGTCAAAATAATCAAAGTCAAGACATTGGCTTTTCCCCACAGGTTTGGGAATTTTTGTGTTATTTTTGTTTTTTGGTTCAACACCTTACATGCCCATTAAAGGGCACATTTCTGAGAGGATTTTACTGAAAAATGTAGCTCAAAGGCAGAAGAAATGTAAATGTTCTGTTTCCACTAACTCTCAAGCTAAAGAAATAACTTTTGCTGCCATTTTTTCGCTAATTTTACCTAAGAAACCAGAAAACCCTCACCTCCTTCAACCACACATTACTCGACTTCTATTCAACATAGATGGATATTACTTTCACCCAAAACAAGGCAAATGGATAGGCCTAAGATGACACCACCAACTTTGTAAGCCCCAAAAATAACGAGAGCCTGATTCCACCGCGCCGTGTCACAAATGTTAGAAAAGCACTGCACCAGAGAGTCAATAAAGGGAGAGGAAAGGCAATCCCGCGGCTGAAATATTCTCAAGTCAAATCAGTCGTATTGTGCCAAAATAATAGCTTTTGCCCCTCCAGTGAGAAAAATCAAGCAGGCCCCCAGGATGGTCTTGGGCTCTTTGAAGAATGATAGAGCAGGCCTGGAGCCATAGGTGTGGTACTGCTTTAACTCTATGAGCCTCATCAGACGCTGGTAGCGTCCGGCGGTGATAACCCGGTTCCCCATCGGATGCTGGGAGCGTCCAGTACTAGTGACAACTGTTTCGTTTTATTCAGTTCTAGTTTTTGCTTGTTTTTCTGAACTATTCCCGAACCAAGTTTTTTAGTAATGACTAAGCCATTGTTTCCGCTATTTAGAAGTTGGAGGCAAGCTTTTGGGGTTATAATGAGACATGGTGCACCAGGTTTAGGTGACTGTAGAAAAAACTGCGGGAGACAGTGGAAAAAACTCAGGGTTTAAAGAGTTAAATATGTTCCTAAAACATCTTCCCAAACTTACCACTGACTCCATATCATTGAGCATGATTTGTTTCCGCAGCATCATTTTGTAGAATGGCCTGATGAAAAATGCTGAAGAAAGAACAAATGAACATGAAAGATAAAACAAGTACCCACATTTGCCTTTCAGAATTTTCAGGAAATTAAGTTCAATGTGAAGAGAAGAGAAAGGCTTTACTGAGTCGATCAGACGTACTAAGCCAAAAACTGAAAACTATTTTCTTATTGCAGATTCTTTACCCGTAACATCGGTTGCATATACTCGTGAAATTTTTGACCAAAATTCAAGTTTTAGAAGGTAACTTTCTGGACTTGAAACAGTTGAACAGTTTGACGATGATATGATATACGCTTCAAAATGAAACATTTTTTTCACAAAACTCTGAAACATATTTGTAAGAGAGTTCCAAACAGCGAGAAAAATGATGACAAAAAAAAGACTTCTTTCAATCAATGTGGATATGTCAGCGAGAGAACGGAAGGCAAGCGGGAAAAAGTAGCTATTAACAAGCTCAAAAGACAGGAATAATGTCTAAAAACCCAATAGTAACATGTATCTGTGCTCAGATATCACGTAAGGAAACGTACGACTCAGAGCTGACAAACAAATTGTAGGGAAGGCATCACCCAATAGTAACATGTATCTGTGCTCAGATATCACGTAAGGAAACGTACGACTCAGAGCTGACAAACAAATTGTAAGGAAGACATCACCCAATAGTAACATGTATCTGTGCTCAGATATCACGTAAGGAAACATACGACTCAGAGCTGACAAACTAATTGTAAGGAAGGCATCACCCAATAGGCGCCAACAAAACTAAACCAAAAGTGGGAAAAAAAAGCATCTGTATTTGCATTCAAAGATTAATCAATGCCGCGCATTCTTTTGCTGTAGCTATCTTCCTGCATACCTGCAAAATTTTGGTCAAACACGGCACAGATTCTATAAAAAAATCCCCCCCCCCACCCCCCCCCAAAAAAAAGAAAGTTACAGCAATATTCAAAGTTCTCTCTTCTCTCTACAAAAAGAAAATCAGTAGCTGAAGACATGAAGAGCACAGGGGGAAAACGACGGTAGTCACAAACTGGAAATTGTGAGGGCGCCAATTTTAAAAGCTTGTGGACTCATAACTTCATATTTGTTTGACTGGTGGTTTATTGTTAAGTGTTGTTGAAAGGGTAATCTGACAACAATAATCAACAGACAGTAGAACAGAAATACAGTTATGAGTCAACAATCGTTCACACGATTTTCAGTTTGTGACTACCGTCGTTTGCCCCCTGTAGTCTTCACAAGCACTCACCGTCCAACAATTTTCCATGGAAAACCGCCATCCCTGCAATTCGTCCAATAAACTCAAAGTACGTGAGGTGATCCTCATTGAGAATGCCAGATAAGGCATTAATTTGAAGAGTATAATTGTCTCTGAGGAAGAAAAGACAATGAAAAAATCAAACAGTTATTTCTCCACTTTATTACAAAGAGATTATACACATCTCGGTAGTTTTCCGGCATCAGTTTTGAAGAATATTCTTATCTATGACAGGGGTCACCAAACCTATTTAAGAGTAGGGTGGAAAATTTAGTTTTAGTACAGGTCTTACGGCGCTCGCAACAGCATAAAGTCATATGAGCGCCAAGGGGTGGATGTCAACAGAAGAGAAGTCCTTACAGGGAATCAGACTTACTCTGCTCACCTCTCTAGCTTCAAGAGCACAAAGACTATCAAGGCACCCCGTAAATAGCAGGTCACAAGAGTGCAACAAACATTTTTTAAAAGTAGAGAAAAATGACGATAGTAAGGATAAGGAAAGAAAAAGCAGCACAATTCTACTGTGCTTGAACGAGAAATGTCCCCCCTTTGGGAATGGCCTAATGACACTTCAGTCAGCGGCACCGCCCCGGGGTTAATCCGATCAGTACCCTTGACATAGCAGTCTGTCAAAATGAGTTTTTGAAAAATACTGAAAGTTTCAAAGAGATCTTCGTACTAGAAGTGTTCTAAAATGTGAAGAATACAACATCGGGGGTACAAAATGACCCCAGGACGTACGGATAGGGTTAAGCACACTACAAGTACATCCTTTAGTTTAGTTTTAGTAGAGGTTTTACAGCGCTCGCAACTGCATAAGGTCATATGAGCACCAGAAGATTAGAGGTGTTACAAGAGAGTAACAAACATAAAACAGAAGGAGGGGAGATAAAGATGATAGATGTTCGATAGGAAAGAAGGAGCAAATCACACCAGAGCACCCGCCAACCACACACAAACATGTTTATATCCCCCCTTTGGGAATGGCCTAAAGACACTTCAGTCATTCAGTCAGTAGCACTTGCAACACAATAAGGTCATATAAGTGCCGAAGAATAGATGTGATACAAGAGAGTAACAAACACAAAAAAAGAAGGAGGAGAGATAAGGACGATAGAACTTTGATAGGAAAGAAGGAGCAAATGACACCAGAGCACCCGCCAACCACCCATGGGGCCGGGTCTGGCCCACACGCTGTAATTTGGTGACCCTGACCTATGGGGCGGAGGAGAATATGCAAATACCAAAAGCTTTTTCTATTTTGCTAATACAATAAGTATCAGTTTTAGTTCTAGCAAGAGTTTTACAGCATTTGCAACACAATAAGGTCATATAAGTGCCGAAGAATAGATGTGATACAAGAGAGTAACAAACACAAATAAAGAAGGAGGGGAGATAAAGACGATAGACGTTTGATAGGAAAGAAGAAGCAAACCACACCAGAGCACCCGCCAACCACACACACACAAAGAGCACTTGTATAGGTTTCTACGGTACTCACGTTGCAGAGTACTCAAACAAGCCGTAATACGGGTTGAACATTTCCTTGGACAGGAGGTAAAACCATTCACGTGCGACACCACCGTAATCCAAGCCGATCTCTCCATCAAACTCGATCCATAACCTGGGGCAAAACAACAACAGTTCGTTAGTCTCAACAGCTCCAAACATTCCACTTGCTCAAATGTTGTATTTAAAAGTACGCTCTTCATAATTGATTTCTTTTTTAAATACTAGTTTGCAATTGCTCAAATGTTCTTTTAAATGTACACTCTTTATAATTGATCTTTAAAAAAAATACTAGGTTTCATTTGCTCAAAGGCTCTATTTAAATGTACGCTCTTTATAATTGATTTTAAAAATATATATACTAGGTTTCATTTGCTTAAATGTATTAAATGTACGCTTTCTATAATTGATTCTTTTAAATTTTAAAATATTTGTTTTCTAAAGGTTATGTGGGGGTTTTTTTCAATTTGTATTTGAAAATAAATCTCATTCTTTCTTAAAGGTTTTACGAGAGAAAGAGAGAGAGAGAGAGAGAGAGAGAGAGAGATAGAGAGAGAGAGAAAGAGAGAGAGAGAGAGAGGGAGAGAGGGAGAGAGAGAGAGAGAGAGAGAGAGAGGGAGGGAGGGAGGGAGGGAGGGAGGGAGAGAGAGAGAGAGAGAGAGAGAGAGAGAGAGAGAGAGAGAGACAGAGAGAGAGAAAGCTTCCAAATCAGCGAGTAACATTTAATATCTAAACTTCGCTTCACCTGGTTTTCAAAAGATCTGCACTTTTCACTCCCATTATCACTCTAAAGGAGTCTTCAAACACATTTCTCCTGGTCACCTTGATGTCAAACTTGTTGGGCAAGCCACTCTGTAAAAACAGAAAGAAAGAAAAATGAGCTAATCACAATACATATATATGTGAGGCGTCGTGGTGAAATCAGGTGATTGTCAAAATACTGAAATCAAAGGAGCAAGCTTTTTTCTGCTGGTTCGCCAATTTTTTTCAAATTTTTTTGGGGGGCTCAATACCTGTTATGTCCGCTTAAAAACACATTTCATTCCACACTGAAAGCTTGGCACAGAAATAGTACAGCAAGAAGACCATGACTGACAGTACAGCTCAAAACAATATGAAAGATGAAAGGTCACGTTATTTCTGTTATCAAAATAAAAACCGAGAGGTGACCTTTGTGTCATAAGCAACATTCAAACCCTCCTACTCTCCGTTCAGTCAAGGAATCAGGACGTACAACTTATCTGACATTTGTAGGGAACATGAGAGTCGTGGGAAAAAATGAACACTTTGCCATCCTATTGTGGGGAAAATCCAAACGTCGCCAATCGGCGAGAGGAGGCGGCAAGGTGTGAAAATACAATCCAACAATAGCAAGATGGTAGTGCCGAATTCAACTTTGCCAATAAAGAGCAAAGAGTTAATTATTTGTATCTGACTGCTACTCGAAAAAAACCACTGTACTAAGCAACTGCATAAAGTCATATGAGCGCCAGAAGATTAGAGGTGTTACAAGAGAGTAACAAACATAAAAAAGAAGGAGGGGAGATAAGGACGATAGATGTTTGATAGGAAAGAAGGAGCAAATCACACCAGAGCACCCGCCAACCACACACAAACATGTTTATATCCCCCCTTTGGGAATGGC